GTTGCAAAGGGTCAAAAGTATCTTTCTGCTGGAGTACCCACGACTGAAAGGGAAACATCAAGAAGAGCTGCGAAAGGGGCAAGAAAGAGATTTGAGGGCCTCGGACACGAGACAACCAGGTTAAGGAGCCGGACTATTGAGGTTAAAAGGACTGACAATCCCGGGTCCAGGGGAGGGGGCGCTGGAAGTTGACTGGATTGTGTCTGACTTATTATCTTATTTTATTTTTCTATTTTTCAATATTGGGAACGTTCATAAATGTTTGAAAGATGTTGAATGAAACTATATGGCTTAAGTAATGATTGGTAAATGATTTGCAAAAAGGTAATGATGTAAGAATTTGGTAAATACTGAATATAAGCTTTGAGTTTTAAAGTTTTTATATGACAAGAGGGAAAATAGAATAAGGAAATGTAATGATAGAATGTTATGAAAAAACAGAAAGGATTTGCTGTAAAAATTAAAAATTAAGAAACAAGAGAGGGGAGGAGGAGGAAGTCTAGAAAGGAAGTTAATAGAGATCGTAAATGATTTTATACTTTTGTTTTTCTCTTTTCTTTTTTTCTTTATGGTTGGGTTTTTTCTTTTTTATTTCTTTATCATTTTTGCTTTTTGTATTTTCAATTTTTTTGGAAATTTTTGTTGTTATTCTTTGAAAACTTAATAAATATTAATTAAAAAAAAAAAAAGATACAGTGGTACCTCGGGTTAAGAACTTAATTCGTTCCAGAGGTCCGTTCTTAACCTGAAACTGTTCTTAACCTGAAGCACCACTTTAGCTAATGGGGCCTCCTGCTGCCGCCGCGCCCCCGGAGCCTGATTTCTGTACTTATCCTGAAGCAAAGTTCTTAACCTGAAGCACTATTTCTGGGTTAGCGGAGTGTGTAACCTGAAGCGTATGTGACTTGAAGTGTATGTAACCCGAGGTACCACTGTACAACAGATGACTTATGGATGTGGAATGTGGAAGTAGCAAAATGTTGCAGGAGAGCCCCAACATCTAGTTCAGTATTGTCTCCAACAAGGCTGGGGAACCTTTTTTCAGTATGAGCACCACATTCCCTTGTAGGCATCCATCTGGCTGCTGCATGACAATTGTGATTGGAGCCAGAGGCCAAAGTGGGTAGACTCTTATCTTTTTACAGGGGGGTACATTCCAGCCAAAGGGACGCGGGTGGCGCTGTGGGTTAAACCACAGAGCCTAGGACTTGCCGATCAGAAGGTCGGCGGTTTGAATCCCCGCGATGGGATGAGCTCCCGTTGCTCGGTCCCTGCTCCTGCCCACCTAGCAGTTCGAAAGCACATCAAAGTGCAAGTAGATAAATAGGTACCGCTCCGGCGGGAAGGTAAATGGCATTTCCATGTGCTGCTCTGGTTCGCCAGAAGCGGCTTTGTCATGCTGGCCACATGACCCGGAAGCTGTACGCCGGCTCCCTCGGCCAATAAAGCGAGATGAACGCCACAACCCCAGAGTCAGTCACAACTGGACCTAATGGTCAGGGGTCCCTTTACCTTTACATTCCAGCCAAGCAAAAATCAGAGGTTTCTACAATCTCCAGTCTACTTCATGTATCTCAGGCATAGGCAAACTTTAGCCCTCCAGATATTTGGGACTACAATCCCCATCATCCCTGACCACTGGTCCTGTTAGCTAGGGATGATGGGAATTGTAGTCCCAAACATCTGGAGGGCTGGAGTTTGCCTATGCCTGCTCTAAGCTTTACTGTCCCACAGCTTGATGATGGTCAGCTGACTTCACAAGCCAATAGGCATCAATAAGACCCTTGAGCCATGATCCCGGCTTATTCACAGTTTATCCGGATCATCTGATTAGCATCAGGCTCAGACTCTATCCCAGTCTGTTGCAAAGCCTAGCTCAAGGCCTGACACAAATGTGCTAATATAATGAAATAATGGGCATTTGGGGAGATTGTGGATGGATCCTGCTTTGGTCCAGTCATTGGATAGAATCAAGGAAGCCAGGTGGCAAAGGATTTGTGGCTATATAGATACAATCTCCAACAATTTTTGAGATTGGCCACAGCAGATCTGTACTTATCCATTTTGGAAATTGTTGACCCAGCAGGTTTCCAGTTCTTAAGAAATAATAATTTTAAAAATCTAATTTTCCCTTTCTGAGCCTCCAAGCTCCCTGCAATATCTCTTTTTTTTAAGAATAATTTTTTATTAACCAATCACATCAAATTAAACCAAATTACATAAATTCCAAATTACACAGCCAAATTTTAAATTTTTGTTGGGGGTACCCATATTTCAAGTTCCGAAGGGGATCCAATCAACTTCTTGCTTCTTGCTGCTGTTTTAATGTACACAAATCTAACCATATGATATTCACAGTACTATCCAGTCCTTTCTTATTGTTTTTCCACATCTCTTGTTGTTATTTTCATATATTTTTCCTTTCTCTTTGTGACCTCTGATAGTCTCCACAAGCTGCTTAAAACAGTTTGTAATCCTGTGTGGATATTTTTTATTTATTTATCCAGTAGCCATATCCAGACGTTTTCCATATAACATCACTTCCATACATCAAAACAGTCTTAGCGTCATTAATCTTCACCAATCTGCCTCCTTTTTCAAACCTCTGAGGAGATTCACCAGGAATGCAGTCTGAAAACAAGTCCATTCCTCCTCCCGGCTATAAATCCTTTGGCAAGATGGCGACTCTGAATTAATTGCTGTGCCATTCCAAAAGCTCTTATTGCTTCTCGATCTCCATAAAGCATACTTTTGGTTAAAGTTTATCTCCACACAGACCTTAATCATCCTGCTTGGGTCAGTTAAACTGACGGTTCTAATGAGGAGGGGTTCTTAGTAAATCACATAGAAGGAAAGTAAAAAAGGTCCCCCCCCCCATTCAGTCCCGTTGCCGACATACCCAGCCTTTGGTGTATCTTCATCGTAAAATATTCCTGTTGCTCCAACCCGTCGTCTTCTTTTGCAGAGGTCACTTAAATTAGCAGACTTCACTCCCCTTCTTCACTTGAAATATGTGCATTTGCTTCTTTTGTAATTAATTATTCCAAATTGCTGCAGCTAGTGCGCGGTCAGAGACAGCGTCCAGGAGAGCCGAGGTCCACACGGGGGCATTCTGCCTAGTGCCCTCATCCCCTTCTTTCAAATTTGGGGGTGATTTATGGGCACAGCAGGCAAGGGCAGTGCTCCCCATTCCCTTGGGGCAACAAGGGAGGCTGCCTACTCCCATAACAGCCTCTTAATTACCCCGTGTGGGTCGGAGAGATGGTATTGTCGGCCATCTTCCAATGCGCCAATAGTGGCTCCCCCGCTCCCTGCAATATCTCATTGCCTGCATGAATACATGTTCCCCAATGCTTCTATACTAAGCATGGCAGGTAAAACAAACAGGCTCATTGTCTGTTTAATATTCATCTATTAATGTGAGCTTTATGTTCTTGTTGTTATATTTCATTTATAAATGGCTTTCTATGATACAACTTGACGTGATTTCATAGTACTGTCAAGACTGTATGCAGAACAATTGCATATATAAAAATGTGTTGTTTTGTTTTTTAAAAAACTTTACATATCTAAAAGCAACTGTGCAGATAAAAACAATTTCAGGTAAGTTCAGAAACTGAATGGATAAAACTCTACTCCTAGAAGGCTTGTTGAAAGAGGGAAGTCTTCTATGGGTGCCAAAAGGACAGGAAATATGGCCAGTGTCTGATATATAATGTGCACAGACATGTACCTGGACATCTATATTCCAGACTAGATGAAGCTATGTGATCATGTGCTTGAGGACAGAGTACAGATCAAAATGGCTGTTTGCAACATTTCCTCACAAACTTGCTACTGAACTGAAATAAAGGGTGCCTGGGTAATTGACCAAACTAAACCAGTAAGGGGAGCTCAGGAACATTAACAATGCCCTGGGTACTATTTGCCTTTGTGCAAGTAATCTTCAGTGTTATGGATTACAAACGTGATGTTACTTTGTTGGTAAGTGATCTAAATGAAAAGCAAATGCTTTGCTGATTTTTAATTACAGACTGGATGAGTTTATATAAGTAAATCTCTGTTCTGATTAATCAGGGATTCCATCATCCCAGGAGGCAACAGCTCAGGTGAGAGAAAATGAGATAAAGCCATCAGCCAGGAAGAAGAGCAGGACTGGTTCAGGACCTCGGACAGCACTACAGGTCATGCTTCTTGGCATGAATTCAGGACCATGACTAGCAACCTTGCAACTATGGTAAGAAGGTTACTTCAGCACAAGTTTGAAGTGGTTTTGTAACCCTAATTAGGAGAGTACTTCAGGAAGCTCCAAACCCCCACCCACCCACCTTGTTGTTTAGTCATTTAGTTGTGTCCGACTCTTTGTGACCCCATGGACCAGAGCATGCCAGGCACTTCTGTCTTCCACTGCCTCCCGCAGTTTGGTCAAACTCATGCTGGTAACTTCGAGAACACTATCCAACCATCTTGTCCTCTGTTGTGCCCTTCTCCTTGTGCCCTCCATCTTTCCCAACATCAGGGTGTTTTCCAGGGAGTCTTCGTGTCATGAGGTGGCCAAAGTATTGGAGCCTCCGCTTCCGGATCTGTTCTTGCAGTGAGCACTCAGGGCTGATTTCCTTAAGAATGAATAGGTTTGATCTTCTTGCAGTCCATGGGACTCTCAAGAGTCTCCTCCAGCACCAGAATTCAAAAGCATCAATTCTTCGGCGATCAGCCTTCTTTATGGTCCAGCTCTCACTTCCATACATCACTACTGGGAAAACCATAGCTTTTACTATACGGACCTTTGTTGGCAAGGTGTTGTCTCTACTTTTTAAGATGCTGTCCAGGTTTGTCATTGCTTTTCTCCCAAGAAGCAGGTGTCTTTTAATTTCGTGGACGCCGTCACCATCTGCAGTGATCATGGAGCCCAAGAAAGTAAAATCTCCACCCACCCAGCTTACATTTGGCTATTTTAAAGGGCTTGTGTCTTATTCTGCAACTGCAACATATTTGGAAGGTCTGTAGCTCAGTAGTACAGTATCTGCTTTGCACGCAGAAAGCCCCAGGTTTGTTCCTTGGTGTCTCAAAGTAGGGCTGGGGGAGACCAGTGCCTGAAACCTGGAGAGCCACTCCCAGTCGATATAAAAAAAAATGACCTGGATCAGCAGTGGGGAACCATTGGCCCTCCACATGTTGTTGAACTGCAACTGCCATCAATCTCAGCAAGTATGATCAATGGCCAGAGATGATGGGAGTTGTAGTTCAGCAAAATCTGGAGGGCCAAAGGTTCTCCATTCCTGATCTAGATGGATCAATGGTTGGACTCATTATAAAACAACTTCCTCTGTTCCTACATCTACTACAGTGTTCAAGGCAAACTCATAGATTTAACTGTGCATTTTCATTCTTTCTAAGTTGTTGTTGTTGTTTTGGTACGTAGGTAGATCCAAAGTGATATTCTACCATAATTGATTGGACTCAGAAAAAGAGAGTTCTGATTACCTGCATAATGTGATTGTTACCATAGTTTAACACTCACAAGTGATGTCTATTAGATAATAAGCCTTATATAAACTACAGTACAGGGAAAACAATATACAACAGGTAACTGGCAGTGTCAGTCATTTTCTATCTAGATATATAGACAAGACCTGGAGGCTAGAATGACTATAAACCCAAGTTTCCAATAGGAAGTTTACAGCACTAAAAACAAATATCTTGTCCAGCGGGCCTTTATAGCATAATTCCTCCTAGATAATGAATCTGACTGTCTAAAGGAAAAGTCAATATTTGATACTCAATGTGCTTGAGTTTATACAACATCCTCTGTTAAAATAATAAGAATTTAGAACAAATTATTTTAATGCAACCGTAAAAAGAAAAAGAAAAGAAAAGAAACAGAGTTTATGATGCTTGTCGAAAAACAGTGTTGGCAAAGCAATATCCCCAACAATAAGACCAGCAGATTTAAGTAAGCCCAATAAATCTAGCCCTTATAAGTTAGATAATTGGGTCCATTTTTCAAACAAGCACAACAATAAAAAGCCACCATTTTATGACATAAAAAGCCTCCTGTTGGCTGGCAATCAGATGAAAGATTTTATGCTAATGGGAGAGTGGGTGAGGTTTCGTGACAGCAGTTCTGTACTGGAGCCCAAAGCCCATTTCAAAAGGCAGGTAGGGTGATTTCATCTACCATTTTTGAAATTAAAACAACATTTTATTTATATATTTTTAATGGTGTGCATGTAGTACTAAATCTGAAGGTCTCTTGTCTGCTGTGATGTCATGGGCATCATGCTGCTAGAAAGTTATGTGTCCTTTTTCAGTGATGAACAGCATTCAGACAGTTTTCAAAGCATTTTATATACATTAGCCTCCCAAGCTTTACATCTCCTAAAGTAGCAAGCTGATCTAATATGAAGTGACCTGGTCTGCAGCTCCCAGATGAACATGCAGATCAGACTGTAGTTTTCCTTTGGATTTTGTACTTCTCTGAATTTTGTGATGCAGTTCATGATGCATATAAAATCGTGTGCCTTAGGATGCAATACATAGAGAACAGTGTACCTTGAGGGAATATACCTTTAGAAAAGCATATCTTTGTGTAAAAAACACACATTTAAATTCATATTTAAATATGATATTTCATGCATGTTTTTAAATAGCATTTTAATTTTTAGACTTATGAATGAACATGTGCAAAACAGATATGGACTGGGAATGGAATGATTTGTCCATTCCTTCTTGAAACTGTGTTAAACTATGGACTTTGCTCAGATGGGCATCTGGCCTGATCCAACTGCCTTTTCTTATGCTCTTATGTTCTTAAGATATCAATACTCCGTTATGCCACATAGGTAAATTATTTGGGCTGAAAGGCAAGGGTGGTTGCATTTGACTGTAGCCAAAAATCCACACCACCACTGCCAGCTTTCGTCACACTCATTTTATTGTTCTAAAAGTGAGGCGGCTGTTGTGGCCAGTTTTGGGTGGTGGTGCTATATTTTGATTTAATTTGGGAGACTTCCTGTTCAAATACAGAGTTACAGTGAGAGCCTTCTGGTGGTTCCCTCACTGTGAGAAGTGATGTTACAGGGAACCAGGCAGAGGGCCTTCTCGGTAGTGGTGCCCGCCCTGTGGAACGCCCTCCCATCAGATGTCAAGGAGATGAGAAACTATGCAACCTTTAGAAGACATCTGAAGGCAGCCCTGTATTGGGAAGTTTTTAATATTTAATGTTTTCATATGTTTTTGTATTTGCCAGAAGCTGCCCAGAGTGGCTAAGGCAACCCAGTCAGATGGACAAGGTACAAATAATAAAAATTTTATCATTCTTGCATGGGCACTTTCCCTCTCTTTCCTTTTAGATTTTGCCTCAGAGCTACAGCTCTTTACCAACAAGGGGAAGAAGCCTGCATCAATTTTAAATTGGGGAAATAAGGATCTGAGGCAAAGGTTTTGTAGTGAGCCACAGCAGGGCATTGGACCTGATGGAGAAGGGGTAGCCAGATATATGAGCACTGATGAAAGATGTAAAATATTAGGCAGGCAAGTGAACTGTAAGAGCACACGTTCTCCTGAGCAATGCTTACTAATGTTTCTCATGCTGTTCTTCTGACTAATGTAAATCATTCCACACTTCAGCCATGGATGTAATTACCTGCCAGAGTACTAAAAAAAAATGATTAAAATATAATGGCATTGGCTAGCCAAATACTAAAAGCATCTTAACACGTGGTTGCAGCTATGTAGCAATAGACAACAAGAGATTTTTGAGATTATATCTGGAGCTTCTACTACTGAGCCAGGTTGTTATATTAATTTTCAAAGCCCTGAACAAGTTAGGTTCAGGGTACCTCAGAGAGTGCCTGAACCCTGACATCCCATTGGTCATTCCTTGAGTTGGTGATGCTTGTTTGACAGCAACAAGAAACTGAGCTTTAGCTTCCTTTCCCAATCCTGTGGTATGCTCTGCCGGTAAAGTTCCAGCAGGCATCCTCTCTGTGTCAACTTTTAAAGGTCAGCTGAAAACTTTTCCATTCCCTCTAACCTAAGCAGACAATTGAGAATACATCATCCCACATGGTTACATATATATCCACCTGCCAGGAAGTTTAGTGCCGTGGCTCTGCCCCACCCAGTGTTTGTGCATTCAGAAGTTTAGTTATTACGGGGTGAGAGGGACAAGGTGGCAGGAAGGTCTGTGCAGTGCAAACACATTGGTGGAGCCAGGCTGACCCCTCTGCTGGTGTGCTTGCACTGCACTGACCTATTTGATACTTTGTTTTTTATGGGTAAAGAATGGGGAGAGGCACAGAGCCCTATCTTCCAGGAAGCTAGAGTAACAGCCCTCTACCACCTAGTGAGCCACTTCTGGCAAGCACGTTATAGGAAGCATAAGAATGGTGTGTGTCTTTGTCTTTTCCCGCACTGATGCCAGCTGCTTACATGGGATTAGCAGTTACTACTATAGGACCACCCTTAAATGGCAAACAATTTAGAAACAAGGTGTATGTGTTCATAATTCATATGCGCACCATAGCTCTGTTGGCCAACATTCACCCTGATGCACCTGACAGGCCCAAACACCACTCTGGCTCCAATATTAGTGGAGTGGGATTAAATAGCCTGGTCTCCAATTCTCCTGTATGGGGCAAATCACTCCAAGTGGTTGCCCACATTACCCCTGCGCAAGAGTCCATTTCTGCTGTTCTTTCAGGGAAGGAGAATGTGGCAAATGAATCCCTACCCCACATGGAGAAGGAACAGAATTGTTGGAAGTATCGACCTTCGGATAACTAAAGAGTTGGTCAAGTACAAGTGACTTGTTGCCATTATAGCTAACAGCTTGGCAGTAGTAACATACTACAGCAGGGGTCAGCGAACCTTTTCAGCAGGGGGCCGGTCCACTGTCCCTCAGACCTTGGGGGGGGAGACTATATTTGGGGAAAGAAAGAAAAAAGAACAAATTCATATGCCCCACAAATAACCCAGAGGTGCGTTTTAAATAAAAGGATACATTCTACTGTAAAAACACGCTGACTCCCGGACCATCCGTGGGCTGGATTTAGAAGGCAATTGGGCCGGATCCAGCCCCCAGGTCTTAGTTTGCCTACTCATGTACTACAGGTATGTTGCCACAATGATGTTTAACCTGCTGAGACACATGAACCTCAATTTTCTTTCTTTTTTAAAAAATGTATCTACAACCCCTCTTCCAGCCCTGTGATGCTGTAGCTGTAAAATTTGAGTTTGCAAAAGAGGAGGATTGCAAACATTTTCAAGCCAGTTTCTTTCGTTAAATAAATAAGTCATCACATTTCCTTTTGTTGGGAGACTGGGCCTTCTTTGCATAAGCAAAGAGTTGTCCAAGTAAAGCTGATAAGTTGTCACAGTAGCTAATGGTGAGAGATGTCATTAGACAAAACCAAAACCTATATTTTATTTGCCATGAAAACTGACAGAACGTGTAAGATCGGGGGTGGGTAGCTCTGGGGTGGACCAGAACACTCTAAATATATGCATAAATGTCAATTTGGAGAATTTCTTCATCATCCCTTGCTAGGAGATTAAGCAGCACTAAGACCACAGTGGGCAAATGTGCTGTACTGTTTGCTTTGAGCTAATTCTGTGACCTAATCAGGCATTGAAAGTTATCTAGTGGGTCAGGGTGTAACGGCTAACCAGTAATTAAAACCACAGGACTAGGATTGTAACTGAAACTTATCTGTTTGTTTATTGATGTACACTGCTTCGTTCAAAGCATATCATTATCTCCATATGGAAAATGATATTCTGAACTTCAAATGAAAACATAGCAAGGTAAGATAACAAAACTGTAATTAGAAAATAATATAGATTAAAAGAAACCTGAATGAGAATATCATTGTAATTGCATTGACAAAGTAATCAGAGTCATTTGAATGAGTAGTTTAGGCTTTCTGTTTCCTACTCTGACAGTTGGCCATTTTAACTTCCTTCATCAAGTGACTAAACAGCAAATGAATGGCAAAGTCCAAGATCATTCTGAGTAGAAGGCTGTATTGCCCACATCACTGATAATTCATGCAGAGAAAAACAACAG